GGGGGAAGACGAGGTGCCGCCGTGCTGCGAACGACGCTTGGGCGGAAGGGGCTGTCCGGTCCCCGGGGGACCGAGGCCGAGGGTGGCCGCGGCGATCCGGGCTCTGAACCCCGAGGCCATCCCAGGGGAGGCCTATGGCTCTGGAACCCGGACGCTGGCTGCCAGTGCAGAGAACTCCGTTGTCGCGCGGGTTCCCGAGTCCCGGGTCGCTCCGGGGCTCCTCTCAAAGCCAGAGAGGCTACCTCGCGGGGGACAGAGCCGTCCAAACCGATGGGACAGACGTGGGCTCGAGGCTCGGTTCCAGGTGGCGAAATCAGACTGCCTGGAGCTGCCCCATGAAGAAACCGAGGGGAGGGGGCACTTCTCCTTTGCAAATGATAGCTAGGCGGTGACCAGTGCCTCTTGTTCTGTTCCTTGTGTCCCCGACAACAGCCAGAATCAAGACTGACCATTGTCTCCTTGGAGCTGCGTAGTTTCCCGACCTAGAGGAAGGTTTCCATGATCATTTGTCAAAGGAAGGCTGAATTAAACCAGACTTAGGGGAAGTCTGTTTACGGAGAGAACTGTATCCAACCCTGTCACTGGGACGCCCCAGACCACCGACTCTTAATGCTTTTGTTATTCTATATTCCTTCTCAGTGAAAGAATGCACAGACCTCAGCGCGGGTGCGGGCGTGTGTGTGTGTGTGTGTGTGTGTGTGTGTGTGTGTGTGTGTTTACACACAACTTTCTGTATTCCATGTGTGAGGGTCCTCAACCCATCTGTGGAAGGCCCAGTTTGCCTGCTTTTGTTCTGGCCCTTGAAAGTGCCAGGCTGGAGTTATAGGAGTATAAACTGCTTGTTGAGTGGACTGAAGGAGATGGACTGGCTTTTCCAGGGCAAGTTCTGACTCTGTATTATTTTCTCTAGGGGAAAACTGGGCCGATATCCTCCCTGGCCAGGAAAGGTGAGTGTATTGCTGCTATTAAAGGAAGACATCTGAAGTTGAAGTTAGGGTTGTGGGAGAATGTGTTGCGTTTCCCTTAATCTCCCAACACTGACTTAAAATGGGCTTGTTCAGATAAGACTTAGTATTTTACTTCTAGTTATCAGTTTTGAAGGAATATCATAAACCAGAGTGTTTAATGTGCAGTAATCACATCTTCAGTCAGAGATGGTTTGTGAAATTTGTTGTTGTTTTTTATCTTGGAAATCAATTGTGATCAGAATGTAGCATTGTGTTTAAATCTAAGAGAGAAGAAACAGATTCTCCAGGAAGAGAGAAGTCTAAATGTAGGTTAGTGAAAAGCCAAAGTATTTTTGTCCCAACTAAGTTTAAATCTTCTCCTGTTACCATATGTGCTGCTCCAGTGCATATCTGCAGAAGTTGACATTCCAGATTTTTCAAGAGGTGATCCATCAGAGCTTTCCAAATGTTCTGGTTTTTTAGTCTTGCTAGCAGTCCAGGAAATGTCTGTAGACTTTTTGCAATATGGTGTTTCCTATGCCTCAGTGGTCCTTTATTTTCACCATCTCCTGTCTTTAACTCTTGCTGCACTGAAAGTATTTTGAAGAATGTTTTCTGTTTCTTCATTGATCACATGTATACATTGATCACATTGTATACCAGGAGCCATTGAAGTAAAAACTGTATCTACTAAACAGTACACAATCTGTTAGCTATGGGTTATTTAAGAAATAATTTCTTCACATCGAAATAGAAAAGTGCCAGATATGGGACAAATATAAAGCTTTGGTTTCTTTGTTTTGTTTTTGTCTTTTTTTTTTTTTTTATTCCCTAGCCTAGTTAGAGCTATAGCAAATTACCTTTCTAGTAGGCTGCTATGTTATCATACCTTTTTTCCCTTTTATCCTTCAGATTGTTAATCCACCTAAGGACTTGAAGAAACCACGTGGAAAGAAATGCTTCTTTGTGAAGTTTTTTGGAACAGAAGACCAGTGAGTAGTACTCCCTGAGAGTTCATGATATCTTTGGGTTTTTCTCTGAGTCTGAGCTGCTTTGGGAATGTTCTGAGACTCCTTAGTTCAGGCTTGCTAAAGTGTGTGTGAAAAAATGGCACCTCATTCTGGCTTCATGCCTAAATAAAATGTGGTATTCTTTCTTTCATAACTGGCAAAAATTATTCTGGGGTGAATTATTATTCACCTCTTACCCGAGGGAGCAATATCCCTCAGGTAAGAACCAGAGTTTATAACTTTCTACATATTATAGGCACTTTGAAGTAGTTTCTTATATCTTCAACATTTCCCGATCGCTTCTCTCTCTCATCAATTTTTTAAAAATTGTGTGGCCTTATGGATGAAACCTAGAGCCTTGCCCAGACTAAACAAGCCATTGACCACTGAACTACATCCCCAGATGATTTCTTTTAATGACTATGTAGTATGGTCTGGTTCTGAGGTACACTGAAAGCTAAGATGTTATTTAATAAAATACTTTATTTCCCAATATGTGCTGTACTGGAGGAATCTAGAATCATTACTTTGAGGTCTTTGATATTACAGAAAGCAGTTTAAGAAGTTACACAGAGGGAAGAATGTGTATTAACTTGAATTTACAGTGGCTTAACTCTCTCCTCAGTACAAGATGATTGCCTAATTCTGGCTAGATAACCTGATTTCTTTAAGCTATTGTTTTTGTATTTATAACTCTTAAAAGAAAAATGTTACTTTAAGTTTAAAAAATGATTTTTCTGCTAAATCTGACACTATGGCTAAAATATTAATTCCTTAAAAGCAACATATAATATTATATATGAAAGGCCCTAACGGATTGCTTTACACATTGAGGAGTTTAAGTGTTGGAGTACTCTTCCAGGTTTCAGTTTGCATAGTATGTTGACCTTCACAGTACAGCTATACCCTGCCCCCATTTTCTTTTCACCAGCCAACTTACCAGCTTTGTGGTGGCAGTGGAAGATTACTCTGAGTTGTAAGAGCAGAGACTGTGGAAGAGGGAATGTTGTTCAATGCCATGAATTGAGACTGGACTATAGCTCAGTGGTAGAGTACTTGCCTGCCGTGTACAAAGCCTTGGGTTCAATCCCCATTATCACTACTGCCCCACCGGCCTCAGTAAGGAAGCAAAGTGTTATTGCCATAGACCACTTAAATAAGATTATCCTGATAAGAAAAGCAGATATTGGTTGTGTTGCATATGAGTCTACATTCCACAGTGCTAGATAATGAAGGAAATCCTAGGACAGTGAATGTTGTGGTCCTCGCCTCAGTAAGGGATCAAGATTTAATAATTCAGTGGGGATAGTGTGCAAAGTAACCAGGGTAACTAGGAAACGATGATGGAAGAGGGCAAAGTCAGTGGAGAACAGCAAGGTCTAGGAAAGCTGATGGAAGACAAGATGGGAGTCCAGTTTGGATGATCAGGAACAGAAAAGGCAATATGGATTTTTATTGGGTTGTGGGAAAGATGAGGCTTCTTGTCTGGGATAACTGATTCTAGGGAATCATAGGCAATATTATTAGCCACACTTTAAGGGTGACTAAATGAAAAATTAGACATGTCTGAAAGAAATATGGAAACTCATTCAGATTATTTAAGGTATGAAAGCCATTATTTGGTAATTTTTTAATGCTAAAATCCTAGAAGGATATATAGTGGTTTCTCTATATACACAAAAATATTAGAACTAAGTAAGTCATAGGAAATCTGAGTTGTATAAACTTGAGTACCCGGTGATAAAGGGCATGTCCTGAATACATACATAAAACCCATTTCTGGTAGTGATGGTATGATTTCTAAACAGTAAGCTCTCAAGTAGGTGCATAGCAAGTACTGAAGGCTTGAAGTCATTTATAGGTACTAGTTGCCTCTTAGTTCCTTGATGGGGTCCATATTAAAAAAAATTTTTTTAGAAGGGCTCAGGGTAAAGCTTAGTAGTGTAGTATGTGTTTGGCATTCATGAGGCCCTGGGTTCAATGCCCAGTACTTTGCAAAAGATGAAACCTACTGGAGGACTCAAGTACTTTGTTTGTTTGTTTGTTTGTTTGTTCGGTGGGCAGTGAACAAGGGATAAGGGTTTGCAGCACTGCTGTTAAGGACAACCTCCTTGGTGCTCAGTGTTAAGGCTGGTTTATTTAGTGTACTATCTCTGGAGGTGAGATCTCCAGATCAGCTGTTGGCAGCAAAGTACTTGGGGAAATAGTTTTGAATATGTTGTCTGCCTAACATGTATCAAATAACTGGTTCTACCTGCTCTTCTATCTAAGCAAGCCATTTCACCTTCCTAAGCCATCATCATATGGGAATGCTTTGTGAGGAAAAGCAGCATCACTTCTAATATGAAAGGATACATTTTTCCACTTTTGTACTGTGCTCTCCACGAAAACTGTGTGCAGTTTAGTTATGTCTCCCAGAAGACTAGATAGAGCTAGTCAAGATCCAGAGAAGACAGAAGAGTAGGGCTCTTTACTATGAGAAAGCAAAACCTGAAAGGGGGTGGGGGGGGGGACATAGTCAGGAGTTAGGAACCAGCTAGTGACTCTCAAAAGTTCTGCAAGGGACACCTCAAGTGGAATGTTGTGTAATTGTTCAAGAACAGCACAGAGACTCCTGGGTGAAGTAGTTAACTTTGGAGGTGATTTAATTGAATGTTTTAGAGATAAAAGCTAGTTTTTAAGGGTAAATATGTCTGTGGCTGTGGTGGAACCTTTAAGGCAGACATTAGGGATGAGGGTAAGTGTGACCCTGGTTCATCCTGTGTGGAAGACTTCATTGTTGACTGGACCTAGCCCAGTGAATGGGCCCAATCCATGCTATTATATTCAGTCAGATATACTCAACTTCAAAATTGACATATAAATTAATGGGAAATGTGTGTAATTAATTTTTATTTTTAGCAAGGGCCTTTATTGCAGAGTACAATACATAGCCTCTTGAGTAAGATTATTATCTTATGATGGTCCTGGAGAGATGAGGTGGCTCAACAGTTAGGAGCAGAGCACTTACTGCTTGCTCTTTCAGCCGACTGAGTTTGGTTCCCAGCACACCCACATTAGGTGACCCTCTGACTTCCAAGGACACCTATGGTACACAGTAACTCACATGGCACACACACACATACCCATAAATAAAAAAGCAAAAATTTTAAGTATGTGTGTATAATATATTATGGTCCTAAAATTTTGGACAGCTGGCTTTTCATTTCCTTTCTTACCAAAACACCTAACAAATTAAGTTGGCATCCCACAGTTAGGAAAAGAAGGCCAAACCTACCTCATCAGGCCTCCATATTGAGGTCAGGACTCAATGAGATAGATTCAGCTCTCCAAGACACAACTTTCCCAACTCACTTTAAAATCTAGAGAAGAAATAACTTCAGCAAACTATTAACTATACCATATGACCACAGTTAAACATCAAGAATCAGTGTATGCGACTCCAACTTGAACAGGTCTGTCCTTGGTTGCCACTTGGGCTCAGAGTTTTAAAATTTGATCTGACATTGGAGAGATGGCTCCATGGTTTAGAGCATGGTTTAGAGCAAGTGCAGCTCCCCTGGAAGACCCTAGTTGGTTCCCAGGACCCATGGTACATAGCTCACAATTACCTATAACTCTAATTCCAAAGGATCTGATATCTTCTGCTCTTGACTGGCACCTACACATACCACACACACACACACTTACACATGCAAATACAAATAAATAAAAATAAATCTTTTTAAAAAATTTGATCAGGGCCTGGAGAGATGACTTGGTGGTTAAGAGCACTGGCTGCTCTTCCAGAGGACCTGGTTTCAATTCCCAGCACCCACATGACAGTTCACACCTGTCTGTAACTCCAGTTCCAGGGCTTCTGATACCCTCACACAGACATATATGCAGGCAAAACACCAATGAACATAAGAAATAAAAACAAATTATGTATTTAAAAAATAAATTTTTGGCCGGGTGTTGGTGGTGCATGCCTTTAATCCCAGCACTCGGGAGGCAGAGGCAGGCGGATCTCTGTGAGTTCGAGACCAGCCTGGTCTACAAGAGCTAGTTCCAGGATAGCCTCCAAAGCCACAGAGAAACCCTGTCTCGAAAAACCATAAATAAATAAATAAATAAATAAATAAATAAATAAATAAATTTATTTTTGCCGGGCGTTGGTGGCACATGCCTTCAATCCCAGCACTCAGGAGGCAAAGCCAGGTGGATCTCTTTGAGTTCAAGACCAGCCTGGTCTACAGAGCAAGTTCCAGGACAGGCTCCAAAGTTACACAGAGATACCCTGCCCCGAAAAACCAAATAAATAAATAAATGACTTCTTTTGGTCAGTGCAGGCTGGCAGGATGCAGCTAAAGGTACTTGGCTGTGAGTCCTCATAATCTAAGCTCAGTCCTCAGAACCCACATTATGGAAGAAGAGAACTGACTCACTCAAGTTGTTCTCTAACCTCCATACTTGCATTGTGGTCTGTACATGCACACACACACACACACTCTCTCTCTCTCTCTCTCTCTCTCACTCACTCACGCTGTTGAAAATTTTTGGTTTGATCGACAGCTGGAGATAGTGAAATGAGGAAGTGTTCATTTAGTTTGCAGGTACTCAGAGACACCAGTTTAAGAATACTATTGCAGGGGCTGAAGTGATAGCACAGTGATTAAAAGCAATGGCTTCTCATCCACATGGGGCTCACAACTATCTGTAACTCCAGTTCCATGTAATTCCATGCACTCTTCTAGTCTCCATGAGCACCAGGCATACACCTGGTGCACAGATATACATGCAGGTAAAACACAGATGCACAACAAATTAAAGTAAATAAATCTTTAAAAATAATGATGGTAGCCGGACGTTGGTGGCGCACACCTTTAATCCCAGCACTTGGGAGGCAGAGGCAGGTGGATCTATGTGAGTTCGAGAACAGCCTGGTCTCCAGAGCGAGTGCCAGGATAGGCTCCAAAGCTCCACAGAGAAACCCTGTCTCA